CCTGGACGGCCCAGAGGGTCCCCCCAAATGGCCCCCCAGGGCGTCAGACCGGCCACGAGCCCCCTGGGAGAGTCTAAGAAGCCCCGGAGAAGGTCTAGAGTCGCCCAAAAGGCGCCCGAGAGGCTTTCCAAAGAGGCCCTCAAGAGGCCCCCAAGCGGCTTCCGAAAGCCCACCAGGAGGCCTACCACCTTCAAAAACGAAGGCAAATCTGACGTTTTGGACGCCATTGCCTTTTCGCTTCCGATTCCGGAGAATAGGTCCCGGAACGCGTTGAGTTCCGTCTTCTCCCGCAGTCGATCCGTTTGGTGGAACGACAGCTCCAATGGCCAATCGGCGAAGGGGGCTCCAGGAGGTCCCCTGGGGCCCGACGAGGCCTCCAAGAGACCCAAAGCCCATAACGTTACCTGAAGGCCCATAGCGTTTCCTGATGGAACGTGTTCCAGAGAATGCGTCCCGGGACGCGTTGAGTTCGTCTTCTCCCGCGGCCGTTTTTCTTGCTTGCGCGCACGGCCAAGACCGTTTCTTGATAGAGCGTGTTCCGGAGAATGCGTCCAGGAAAGCGCTGGGTTCCTTCTTTTGCGGCGGTCGCCCTCTTAAATTTTGCGAGTTGTCGCTTTTAGGCCAGCAAGGGGCCGTCTTTTCGCTGTGTTGGGCGTTTCTCCGTCGTGTCGGGGGTGGCACCAGGTTCAAACCGCTCCCAGACGCAGCGCGTTTGAGAGGGCTTCTCCCAAAACGCCCTCGATTCCAAAAGGCCCCTCGCGACCCTACAGCTTCCAATGTGTGAACGGCCGCAACGTTTCCTGATGGAGCGTGTGATGGAGAATGGACTCTGGGCACAACGCCGAGCGACACCGAGGGCCGAATATTGTGGCACACGTGTGACTAGAGCCTTAGCGTGCGCGAAACGCGCGCGTGGTTCTAGCAAATATCTGTTATCAGTACGTAATACGTGTATGTGTCGGTATCCATGTAGATGGCATTCTGTGTTCGTCGGTATCACGACCGATACCACCACATGTATACACAGATCGGTAAATACATAGTCGAACCGACTTTACTAATTCTATATCCATATCACTACCGATCGAACGCATGATTGATAGCATTATCGATCTCTCTATCGGCTCTAGTATCTATAGCTGTCGATGTCACTGTCTGTCTCTCTCTCTCTCTCTGTCTCTCTCCTTATTCCCAACCCTCCGTGGTTGGGTATTCGTGTTGAATAGAGCACTGCGGTCTCCAGTCCTCCTCCTCCTCCTCCCGCCTCTCGTCTCTTCCGCTTCCGTCTTGTCTCCTCTTGCCTTGCGCGTACCTCGTGTGTGTGTGTGTGTGCATCATGGCTGCGGTACCACTTGTGTGTGCATCTTGCCAAAGGGGCTGCCATCTGTGACACTGTCGCCACTGTCGAGGGCTGCTGGTGGGTCCTGCGGAGTGAGGCACCGCGGGGACCTGAGCGAGACCTCGCCGTCCCTGGGGGGGCTGCGATCTGCGACATTGTCGCCACTTTTGAGGGCTGCTGGTGGGTCCAGCGGAGTGAGGCACCGCGGGGACCTGAGCGAGACCTCGCCGTCCTTTGGGGGGGCTACGATCGACATTGCCGCCACTTTCGAGGGCTGCTGGTGGGTCCAGCGGAGTGCGGCACCGCGGGGACCTGAGCGAGTCATCGCCGTCCCTGGGGGGGCTGCGATCTGCGACAATGTCGCCACTGTCGAGGGCTGCTGGTGGGTCCTGCGGAGTGAGGCACCGCGGGGACCTGAGCGAGACCTCGCCGTCCCTGGGGGGGGGGCTGCGATCTGCGACATTGTCGCCACTTTCGAGGGCTGCTGGTGGGCCCTGCGGAGTGAGGCACCGCGGGGACTTGAGCGAGACCTCGCCGTCCCTGGGGGGCTGCGATCTGCGACACCGTCGCCACTTTCGAGGGCTACTGGTGGGTCCAGCGGAGTGAGGCACCGCGGGGACCTGAGCGAGTCCTCGCCGTCCATGGGGGGGGGGGCTGCGATCTGCGACATTGTCGCCATTTTCGAGGGCTGTTGTTGGGTCCAGCGGAGTGCGGCACCGCGGGGACCTGAGCGAGACCGCGCCGTCCTTGGGGGGCTGCGATATGCGACATTGTCGCCACTTTCGAGGGCTGCTGGTGGGTCCAGCGGAGTGAGGCACCGCGGGGACCTGAGCGAGACCTCGCCGTCCCTGAGGGGGCAATGGAGAGAGAGAGAGAGAGAGAGAGAGAGCTGCTGCGGGATACGCTAGGCGCAACGGGCGCATGGCACAGCCAACGGGGGTGATTTGTTATTACGTAGCCCGTATATCTTGATCGGGGGTTTGCGAGCTTTCCGATTGTTGTTCGCACAATCACATGCGTCAATGTTACGCCATCGCCTCCGTTGTCGCAATCATGATGTACTTCTACCCCGCATTGAGCAAGGGTTGGGTACGTCGCCCGGGTTTTGTGTTTGCCCCCCCCCCCCCTCTCTCATTATTTATGTATTATCGCCATCGGGCCAACCAGCGTATTGTGTGTTGCGTGTTGACCGCGTCCTCGAGGTGCGGAAGGCGCCGAGCGCATTTTTGTTGGCCGAAGTCCATCGGGACAACCATCGGGGCGAACATCGGGAGCTGTGCGATTGAAAATTTGAGCTCTGGTACTGTGACGAGTCCTGCTAATCTCAATACGGCACCCCATCACCAGACAGAACGGCCATCCGAGACTAGGTTAGTCAGTGTATGAACGGCACGCTCGGATTAGATTCGGGTCCACGGTTCGGCGTCGACGAGATTCTAGTGCTCCACCAATTTAGAGGTCGGATTTGAAAGGTGGCGGCGGCAAGGAGGTGTACGAAGAGGGGCTTGCGTGTGATCTACCTCCCCTTCTACCCCCTCCTCCCCACCCCTTTCCGCCTCCCTCTCTCCGCCTTCTCCTCGCCCTCGTCGTGGTGCTTGCCCCCCTCCCATCCTCTTCCTCCTCCCCCTCCTCCTTCTCCCTCCTCCCCCCTCCCTCCTCTTCCTCCCTCTTCCTCTTCCTGCTCCTCCAGCCCCCCCCCCTCCCCTTCCTCGCGTACAGCCAGCCTCCGCGAATTCTCCCCTTTTAGAGAGCGGCGGCGGGCTGGGGCCGCGAGCCGAGCCTGGACGCGCAACACCGCGGCAGCGGGAAGCGCCCGCTTTTGCCTTTCAGACGACCCGCGGCGGCGTGGCGAGCCGAGTGGCCCTCGGAGCTATCAGCTTCCCAGGGCAGGGGCCCTATCCTCCTATCCTCCTATCCTCCTATCCTCCTCCTCCTCCTCCTCCTCCTCCTCCTCCTCCTCCTCCTCCTCCTCCTCCTCCTTCCCCTCCTCCTCCTCCTCCTCCGCCGCCTCCTCCTCCTCCTCCTCCTCCTCCTCCTCCTCCTCCTCCTACTCCCCCTCCCCCCCTCCTTCTCCTCCTCCTCCTCCTCCTCCTCATCATCATCATCATCAGCATCATCATCATCATCATCCCCCACCCTCCTCCTCCTCCTCCTCCTCCTCCTTCTCCTCCTCCTCCTCCTCCTTCTCCTCCTCCTCCTCCTCCTCCTCCTCCTCCCCCATCCTCCTCCTCCTCCTCCTCCCCTCCTCCTCCTCCTCCTCCTCCTCATCCCCCTATCCTCCTCCTCCTCCTCCTCCTCCTCCTCCTGCTCCTGCTCCTCCTCCTCCTGCTCTCCCTCCTCCTCCTCGTCATCCTCCTCCTCCTCCTGCACCTCCTCCTCCCCATCCTCGGAGGCCGCGACTGGGCAGGGACAACCAGCTCATGATAGACCGATATTCCCCCATCACTACCACAGGTAGGATCGGGAATAGGAGGATGAGGAGGAGGAGGAGGAGAAGGAGAAGGAGTAGGAGTAGGAGTAGGAGTAGGAGTATGAGTAGTAGTAGTAGTAGTAGTAGTAGTAGTAGTAGGAGGAGGAGGAGGAGGAGGAGGAGGAGGATCGCTAGCGGCTCTCCTGCGCACATCCAAGCAGACGATCACTAATCGGCGTTCGTTTTGGAAGGCCCAGCAGCAGGCGGCGAGAGAATTGTTGCCAGTGAAGAAGTGGATCCAAGGCAAGTGGGAGCCAGACCACTGGATCGAGCCATCATATGCCCAGGAGCTTGCTGCCGCTGCCGATGGCTTTTCCTCCTCCCGCCGGATTGCCCGTCCTGTTGCTTTTGCCTTGGATGCTCTCAGCGAGGCGCAGAGGCTCCAGGCTGTGGACGGGGGTCCTCCTGTCCCTGCTCAAAGGACGATCTCGAGGCACCTGGAGGCTGAGCTTGTTCAGGAAAATCCAGGAGACACCATATTCAAGCGCATGGAGAAGTGGACTGCCGCGCCTCTGTCTCCACAGGCCAAGGCTGCGTGCAGCTGGACGATGCTCAAAGAGTGTCTCAGTGCTCTGCCGCCCTCATGGCAGGCCTCGACAATTAAGACGGTGGTGGGGGGTTGGACGACGGAGCGGAGGGTTCGACAGATCAATATTCCCTGTAAATTCGGTTGCCCCAGTGAGTGCGACACACAAAAGCATTGTTTGTCTTGTCCGTTGCTGTGGGGTGCTGTGCAAACCGTTTGGGTTCCGTCGACTCCGACCGAGGTCCTTCTTGATCGTAGGTTGGGGATCGCCAGAGACATGACTGGAGAGCAACGATTGCTCGCTGTGCAACGCTTGATTTTGAGTTTCTACTTATATAACTCGACTCGGAGTCAGGCCAACGTTGATCCAACGTTGATTGCACAGCATGCCCGTGCTGCCAGAGCGCAGCTTTTGCAGCAACTGGACGATCGAGCGAGCTAAGCGACTACGAACTCATTCCGAGCTACGTGCGAGGAGGAGGAGGAGGAGGAGGAGGAGGAGGAGGAGGAGGACCTCCCCATCCGTTTCCCTCCTCGTACATGTGGTAGGGGTGGTGGAAAATTGGATTATCAGCCTATCAGCTCCCCTTCTCCTTCGGATCGGAGCACACAGCGGCATAAACATCAATGTGTGGCGCTCCGCGCGGATGTCTTTGATCCGCGCTGCCCCCCCCCCCCCCCCCCCGGGCGGCGCCTCCAACGCCACCCCTGGCGCGCTCCGCGCGCTAGGGAAGGGGGTCCAGCGCAGATCCACGAAATCCGCGCGGAGCGCCGCAAGTTTATTTGTATGTTGTGCTTTCTTATTCTATTGGAGGCCGCGACTGGGCAGGGGCGACCAGCGCAGGGATCGGGGGATGGACGCTGCGCATCACACGGCAAAGGTATTCTGGAGCATCGTCAAGCGGCTGAGCGGCTGATGCGAAGGGATGAACAGAACACCCGTGCACTGATTGTCCGTCCTTGTCGCTGCCCCCGATTCCCGTTCGTTTTTCCCGCGTCCTACCCCATCTGGGCGACCGTCATTACGGCTACCAGCCCAACCCTCGTTATTCCCTTCCTCCTTGGTGTTTTATGCGGGAGGAAGGTAGAAGGAAAGAAGGTGGCTTGGGGGCGGGCTTTGTGGGTGCAAAGCGACGGTTTGTCCCCCCCGCGCAAGGGAGGGGGAGAGGCAGAAGAACCAGCGGGAGCATCGATCGGGGAGGAGGGGCAGGATACATCCCTCTCCACCCATCCTTCCCCCACTTCCACAAACTCATTGTTGCTCCCACCTTCCATCCCTACCATCGGGCCGAACGAAAGGGGGGGGGATAGGGAAAGGGGGGGTTACGAAATCTGCTGCGTGCAGCTGGTTTCGGCCCCGCCGCCGGGCCCATTCGTCGATACATCGGCGCCTCCCGGCGCCGGAAGTCGCCGGGAAAATCAGCTACGTGAGCTGATTCTCAACCCGCCCAGCAGGAATAGAGAGAGAGAGAGGGGAGGGGAGGAGACGAGGAGGGGGCTGAGAGGGAGGGCGAGACGGGTTTGATGGAGGACGTGGCGAGGACGAGGAGGTGCGGTACAGAAGGAAGCGCGGCACAGAAAGAGGGGCAGGAGGAAGAGGAGCAGGGCAGCGGCAGGGGCGACGGCCCACGGGCTAGGGCAGCGATTGCGGCAGAGGCAGCGGCAGCAGCAGCAGCAGCAGGAGATAGCAAGAGGGCAGTTTCCCAGGGAGCGCCGAGCAGCCATACCCAGCAGCCGCCGTAGTCCGCGCCCCGCCGTTCCGACCATGTGGCTCAGCCCGGGGTTTGCTCGGGGCGGGCGGCAGGTCCAAGGCATCGACGCGGCTTCAGCCGCAGCTGCCGCCGATGTCGATTGATCCGACAGTCGAAGTTTCGGAGTGAGTCCCACCAGCCCTCTGGGCGTCGGTGGTTTAGGGCGTTTCCTCTTCCACCCCTCCCTCTTCCCCTTCGGGGAGGGGTTTACTCCTCCCCCTACCCCCTCCCCATGACTTGGACAGGAGGGGCGGGGAGGTGTCAAGGCGGCTCAAAACGGCCTCGGCGAGGAAGCCAAAATCATTGATTTTACTAGGGTTTTGGCCCCATGTTGGCCTCCGGAGGGGGGACGCTAATTAGTGCCCCCCCCTCCTGTGATCGATCTCCTCCAAGTTGGCCCCAAGAAGCGCCCAGGAGGCCCCAAGAGTGCCCCAAGATGGCCCCAAGAGGCACCCAAGAGGCCCCCAGGAGGCCCCCAAGAGGATCCCAAGCGGCCCAAAGAGGCCCCCCCGAGGCACCCAAGACGCCGAAAAGCCCCTCAGGACGGCCCTCTACTCGCCTGGGCGTCGTTTCTGGATGGGCTGGTGGGGATACTTTTTTGTTCGGCGGCCCGCAAGGAAAAGTCCAGAGGGCGTGTCAGAAGGCAATGGGGCGCAATGCCAGATAATTAGTGAAGGCCAGGCCACGACTGGAGGGAGCCGCCAAGAGGGCGCCAACCCACACACGAGCAACATGCAGAACCGGGCAGCAAGCCAGAGTGACCGACTGTCCTAACAACAGCCGACCGGAACGGCAAGGGCAGACACTGCTCAGGACAAATTCGGCAAGAAAAAGAGGCGCAAAGCCAGATAATTAGAAGGGCCAGGCCGCGGACGGTAGAGGCCGCCAAGAGGGCGCCAACCCACGCACGTGCAACATGCAGAGCAGGACGCTGGTGGGGATACGCGAAGCTTTTAGAATTTGAGAAGAACCTCATCCCCGCCCTCTGGTGCGAGGTGTGTCCGACGATCTTAGAGGATACATGTAGGGGGAAGGTTTTCTTCCCTCCATCCCCTCTCCACCTCCTGAGTAGGCTAGGCAGTCCAAGTGCAGAAGCTCTCAGCGAACAGAGCAGGGAAGACACAGGAGGGAGGATCGAGGAGGAGAGGGGAGGAAGGAGGATGGAGGGTGCAGGGGGAGGAGGAAGGTAGAAGGTAGGATGGTGGAGGGAGGATGGACGACATGAGAAATACCGAGGAGCGGAGGGGAACGGGGGAGAGAGGAAGAGTGGGTGTAGTCCTGCTAGATGGGGTCGGAGGATCGCGCCATATCGCCGATTCATCGTCGATGCTGCTAGATGTGGAGCCCGATTTGTTTCGCGTCAACGGCGCCGATGCATCGCCGACGTCGACGATGCATCGCTGATGCGTCGCGCCGATACATCGCCGATGCATCGCCGATGTACCGGCGATGCGGCGCGATCCTCCGACCCCATCTATTTCGACCCCATCCAGGAGGCCTCTAGGAGAGGGAGGAAGAGTGGGGGGGGGCGGCGGCGATGAGGCGGAGGAGGCGGACTCGGAGCGCAAATGGCGCCTCGCACGGCACGCCCGTGTATTTGCGCCGCGGCGGCGGCTCTCTGTTGCCCTCCGACCCCGCAGGCAGCCCGGATGTCTGCAGGGGCCACGTCGCAGGCGAAGCAGGCGGGGCCGTGTGATCTAGGCCTCCTGGATGGGGCCAGAGTAGGTGGGGGCGGAGTATCGCGCCGCAGCGCCGATGCATCGACGATGCGGCTCGATGTGGAGCCCGTGTTTCCCCACGCGGACGTCGCTGATGCATCGCCGAGCATGCCGATGGCGATCCTCCGACCACATCTACTCGGACCCCATCCATGACAGGCCTCTAGCCGTGCGAGGAGGGTGGGCCTGGGTTGGCCGGGTGGGGGCACGTCTGCTCGGAAGCAGGAGGGGGTGCGGACGGACTGGAGAAAGGGGGGGAACGAGGAGGACGAGGGGAGGAAGTGCGGCGGAGGATGAAGGAGGGTGGGGGTCCAGTAGGAGGGGCCACGGACGGCGCGAGGGTCGACGTCGCCATGGTCGGATATGCGAGATCACGTGCGACGTTCGCAATGCCAAGCATCTGCTTCGAAGGTGTTGTCGGTGCGCTTCGGGCCGGGACAGATCCTGCCATCGCATCTGACGTTGGACACCTCGGATTCAGCAGGTGTCCCGGTTGCGAGGAGGAGGACCAGCAGCAACAGCAGAAGGAGCACCAGGAGAGAGGGGGGCGGGGAGCTTTGTGGGCCACGGAAACGGCAGGGCCGTTTTTGTCACCGTTTCCGAAAAATCCCTTGAAAATGGAAACGGCAAAAACACAGCCACAGGAAACGGCAAAAAAACGGCTCCAGGATTCCAACCGGAGCCAGAACCGGTCAACAAATGGCGACGGAACCAGTAACAAAAACAGCGTCGGAACCGCAAAAAAACAGCAAAACGGAACCAGTAAAAAAACTGCCCTGTCGTTTCCAGGGCCCACTAAGGACTAAGGCGGGGAGGGGGCGGGGGAAAGGACGGGGCAAGGGCTGGGCGGCGTCAGAGCGGGCACCGCGCGCCCAGGTCCAGGCTGTCCAGAAGGTGTACAGCGAGTGGTGCGTCAAGGCCGCCTGGCCTCGGATTCCCCCCCAGGGCGCCCTCCTGGCCGACGGGAGAGGGCGCACATCTTCGATGTTGTTGCCAGGCGCTGGGCGCCTTTTCGCTTTCTGGGGGGGGGGTCGCCTTGGACACGGGTCTGAGAGCTCTTCTGAACGCCTTCTCTTCCTCCTCTGCCGGCCCTCTCCTCCCTGGGTCCTCCCCTCCCCCTGTGGTTCCAACAGTTTTACATAGCACACAGCGCCGCCAGTCTGTCTCCGGAGAGGTATAGCACAGGCAGTCCATGGACTCGAGCCGAAGTCTGAAAGAAAGACAGGGGGGGGGGGGGCGGATCGCAACCACTTCGGACCGACCGTCGACCTCTTCGCACCGATCGCAGCCAGCTGTGATCGGGCCGAAGCGGGTGCGATGCTTTGGGGGAAGCGGAATAGGATCCGACTGAGAGGAGGCTTTCAAGAGACCTGCCGCATGCAGCTGCGATGGGGCCGCTTACCGACGGTTCGCTGCATCTAGATTGTGCACTGTAGTAATCTAAGGGCGACGATGGCGGCGACGCGAAGTCCAAGTGCTGTTTGGGGAATGCCCACGCACGCCGATGAGAACCCACGTGGTTTCCGCGAGAGGTCGCGTGGAGGGCTGAGGTGGGGCGAGGAAGGGCAGGGAACTGGGCGCCCGTGCGAGCGGGAAACCGATTCGGGCGAGTTGGTCCGCAAGCGTTTCCAAGCGCATCGGAGCTGAAGCCGACATTTGTTCGAACTGGTAAGGCAAGGGCCTGCCCTGCAGGCTCTGTCCACAGCGTTTGCTGGAGCGGTGCTGCAGCAACCCCAGAACACAGGCGTCCTCCCTTGTGCTCTGCCAATCTGCGTCGCATACGCGCACGAATGGAGAAGGGTTCCCTTCTCTTCCTCCTCCTCCCCCTTTTTCCTCCCCCTCCTGGCCTTCCTCCTTCCCATCCTCCTAACCGGGAATCCTGGAGGGAACTTCACGAATCCCCAAGCATCCTCAGGATTTTCTCCGGAATCTCAAAGCATCCTTCAGGAATCTTCAGGGACCCGCACGGATCCTCCAATAATCATTTTTATGCATCTATACGAAATCCTCCGGAAAAGCTCCAGAATCGTGGGGATCTTCAGGTAGGTAGCCTTCAGGAACCCGCAGGAATCTTTGTTAGGAATTTTTCAATCAGCATGAGAAGTCATTAGAAATCGTACGACACTGCAGGGGTCCGCCAGGACTCCTCGATGGGGTCTTCGGGAACCTGCAGGAATCGTAGGCAGTTCCTGGAATCCGTCAGGAATCCTCTTGGGAAACCGCAAGGACAGACTGTGGAATCCCCGAGGAAAACGTTTTTGAATATCCTTGAGGCCTTCTTCAGAGATCCGTCAGGAATCCTTCAGGGTCTCCTCAGGAATCCTGTGAGCTTGCGGGGTCCGTTTCAGAAGCTCTTGAGAAATTTCCAGGGATCTTCAGGAATCCATCAGGAATCCTCCGATATCCATCCTTGTAGGAATCCCCCAGGAAATGTTTGGATGAATCATACGGGGGATGTCCAGACTCCTCCGGTGTCGTGCGGATTTTCAAGAAGAGTTCAGGAACCATCAGAAATCCATGAGGGATCCTCAGCAATCCCTTTGCATTGAACAATCGCGTCGGAATGCTGGGGTATCCTTTTGGAATCCTTAGGGCTCCGTCCAGAAACTGCAGGGATCCCTTTGGAATTTGCAGGAATCCTGAATACATCCATCAGGAATATCTTGAGATTCCTTCTTGGGAATTCCTCCGGAATCTCAAAGAGTTTTCGGACATTTTCAGGAATCACCAAGAACCCATCAGGGATCGAACAGGAATGCTTCAGGACTCCTTGGGGATCTTGCAGGCATCCCGCGGATTCCTGCAGTTATCTTTCAGGAGTGTTCAAGAATCCAGAGGGAATCTTTCAGGAGTCTTCCGGAATGTTTTTGGAATCCCGTGTAGGCATCATTGATTTTCAGTAATTTCATGAATCCGCCAGGACTCTCTTAGGAATCCCTTCTGAATCCTAGAGGAATGTTTCCAACATCCCGAACAAAATGCCCAGGAATCTGCCAGGCATCTTTCGGGAATCCTTGCGACATCCCCCAGGGAATTCCTCAGGTAACCTCGGAGGAACTTGCGGGAATTCTTCGCGAAGCCGAGGAGGCGCTTTCTAGGAGTCCTTGAGGCATCCGCAGGATTTATACAACAATGCTTGCGACAACGTTCAGGAATTCTACGCGAATCTGACATCCTTCAGGCATGCTCAGGAATCCTCAAGACCCTAGGGATCTTTCGGAAATCTCCCAGAATCCGTCAGGAAGCCCAGGAGGAACCCGCGGGATTTCTTTACGAAGCCGAGGAGGCGCGTTCAAGGAGTCCTTCAAGAACCCCTTGGAAGCAGTCTTACAGGAAGCCTAAGAGGTATTCACTGGCTTCTTTCACGAAGCCGAGGACGCGCTTTGGAGGAGGCGCCCATGAAGCTCGGGTGGAAGACTAAGTGAGCGCCCCTGGTTGTAATCCGGCGTTCGCCTTGTTGGATTATCGTAGGAATCCCATACGTTGTGATCAGTCCGCTTCCAGTGGGCGTTTTCAGTCCCAGGTGGTTCGTGAACGGCCCGATGTGGTTGGGATCGGCCTTACTTCGGGGGGAGGGAGCTATCTTCTTTTTCATCGACCTCCTCAAAGATGGCCCCAACATGGCCCCCAAGGTTCCCACGAGTGCCCCAAGAGGCGCCCAGGAGGCTCCAAGAGGTCCCCAAGACGCTCCCAAAAGACCCCCATGAGGCTCCCCCGAGGCACCGAAGACTTCCAAATGCTCCCAGGACCGCCAAGAACCCCTCAAGACGCCCGAAAATCATTCAAGAGGCTTCCAACGACTCCGAGAGGCATCCTGGAGGCCTCTGGCCATTCTGCTCGCCCTCCTCCTCCTCCGCCTGTTCCTCCTCCTTGTTCCCCCTCCTTTTCCCCCTTCTCCGATTCCGCCTCCACCCTCCGCCTACCCCCCCTTGTGGTTTGATGGCTTCCCAGCGCCCGCTATTTCACTGCCTGCTCCTCCACGTCCCTGTTTCGGGCAACTCGCTTGGGCATTGTTTCTGGATGGGCTGATGGGGATACGCGTGGCGTCTTGAATAACTCGTCGTAGTGTAGGGCCTTACATGATTTGGCAAACGGCAGCCGTGTGCTAGGGAGGCGATATGAGAAAGGCGGGATGAGGAGAAGGATACACAGGACGGAGCAGGAGCAGGAGGAGTAGGTCGAATATCCTCTCAGTTCAGGTTGGCAGATTGTTGCGCAAGGCGGCCTTATGTTTCAGCGTGCAACGAGGCTGTTCCCCGGTGATCCTCCCTGACCCTTCAAGGTTACGTGTCAAGATCGCGCGGCAGATACAAGGAAACACCATTGCAACACATGCCACATCCCACATATCTACCTCATGATCATGCTTCCCCTCAGCCTCCTCTGCTCTGCCCCTGTCCTCCCGGCCGGTAGCCTCCCTGGGTTTCCAAGCTCAGGGGCGGCGACTGTCGCAGTGGGCCCTTCTGGACCCCAACCCCGCTCGCAGTCGAGGAGGAGGGGGGAGGAGGAGGAGCCGCCGAACGAGGAGGAGGAGGGGGAGGAGGGGGAGGGGGAGGAGGAGGAGGAGGAGGAGGAGGAGGAGGAGGAGGAGGAGGAGGGAGGAGGAGGGGGAGGAGGAGGGGGAGGTATGAAGCCGGAACGGCCGCCGAGGCCACCGAGATCATCCTCGCCTCGCGGGTCGAGCGTCCGGGCCCCGGCGACCCCTCGCAGCAGCAGGCGGCCGTCGGCGCCACGTTCCAGGGCCTGAAGGCCGCCGGGGCCTGCTGTCGGCCGCCTGGCCGCCCGACGCCTCCCCTGCCTCCCCGCTCCCGGCCCCCCGCGCCTCCTCCTCCTCCTCCTCCTCCTCCTCCTCCTCCTCCTCCTCCTCCTCCTCCTCCTCCGTTGCCATTTTGGCTCAAGGCACTCTTGAGCGGGCAGCTCCGTTCGCGAGCGATCCAGCCTGTCGTGGGCTGGCGGACACCTTTTTCTCTTTCTCTCCCAGGGCTCTTTTGAGCCTCACCTAGCCAGTTCCTGCAGCCATGGGCGACACCACGCCAGTGACCATGCAGAACATGCGCGACCTCATGGCCGAATTCATGGGCACAATACAGACCCGCGTGGCAGAGGAGGTGACTAAGCAGATCGCCCCGATATCAGAGACGATCAACAAGCAGAACGCAGAGCTCGTCGACAAAATGAACGAGCAGCGGCAGACCATCAGGGAGCTAGATCAGAGGATGCGCGCCTGCGAGAACTCCGATGGCAGATCCACTGCCGCATCATCGAGAACGGTTTCTTCGGACGGGTCGAAAGCTAGGAGGCTGGGCGATGCGAGCTCGGCAGGTGGACCAACTCCCCCATCGGATGCCAGAAAGGTGTGGATAGGTACCTGGCCCAGGCCAGTGCTGGACAAAATTCGGCGTGCACACTTCGAGCAGATCAAGCAGAACTTCCCGATCACCCAGCATGCTGAGGGTGAGTTCCATCGCGTGTCGCAGTCCTACTCGATCATCTTCCCGACGACCGAGAAGGCAAAGGAGTTCCGCTTGCAGATTGCAGCCACCACGATGACGTGGGTGGACCCGCGTAACGGCAGGCAGTTCCCTCTTCGAGCTCGTGGCGACCTTCCCGCGGATGCACGTGACATGCAGCGGAAGTTGTCGAAGCTTTACACTCCCATGCGCGAGTTCGCGCTGAAGTCCACGAAGTGGTCGGACGCCTGCCGCCTCGGCGTCAACGGCTTCAAGGGCTCCCTCTTCATCACCAACGGCGACGACATCTGGGCGCTGATCACGGCCAACCAGATCTCGTACGACAAGTACCACTTCGTGCCCGTGGGCGACGAGCTCGCTGACTGGGGCATCTCCATCCAGCAGGTGGAGGCAATCATCGCTGCAGCTCAATCTGCAGAATAGGAAGCTCCACAAGGGCAGATCCATGCAGCCGCAGGTGGGGGTGAGCCTGCAGCTGACCTAGATTCGTTGTCGACGTCTGACTTTTTTCTTCCAGACCAGGTGCTCAGTATATGCTCTTGGAATTGCCAGACTATGTTCTACTCCGTCCACTCCCCTGGGACGCGATGTAAGCCCACATTTGAGGTCCTTCGGAGACTCGTGAATAAACATACCGTCGTCTGTTTGCAGGAGGTCCATGGATGTCTTGGGGATCTTGACACTCTCGGAAGCGAACTTCCTGGAGTCCATGTTTTCGGGTCTTTCGTTGACTCAGAGAGTGCTGGAGGCGTGGTTACTATCGTCAAGTCCTCCCTCTTCGATCTTTTCGCTGGCCATTCGGAGGCGCCCGCGATGGAAGGCCGAGTCCACGTAGTTTCTCTGTGGGGGGCCCAGAGGCCGTTTACAGATCGCCAACTTGCACCTTGTTCCCGACTGGAGCGAGACTCGCACCAAGGCTGTACCCTACTCGCTGCGCACGCATCTCTCCCCTGGTTATCTTGCCACATCCTTCCTCGTCGGCGACTTTAACTTCTCAGTTACGGGTGAAAGCAGATGTTGTTGGGACGGGCGAGACGCTCGCTGCGTTTTCCAGGATTGCAAAGCATTTTGACTCGATCTTCCCCTCCTACGTTGAAGTTGAACAGCCCCACTACACCCATCGTGCAAATGTTCGAAATACACCAAGCTTCGCTCGACTCGACAGAATCCTCACTAGCCTGCCGACCCCCATCGTCCTCGACTTTAACCCACTCTCCACGACCGACTTAGACATATCTGATAGTAAAGTTCCCTCGGATCACGTCCCTGTTCATCTAGTGCTTCGCCCCTTTCATCGGCCTGCAGGTTTTCATGTATCTAAAGAAGATAGGTGTGACATTCCTCTTCCTCCTATTGCAAGCTGGATATTTAAGCACGCTCAGTTTCGCGTCTCGTTCGACTCGCTGGTGGAGGCCAACGAGCTCAGCCTTGACCCGCCGACGGCTATTCTCGAGGTGAAGAGCCTCATGCATGCTGCCGCCAGGGAGGTCAAATATTATGTTGAAGAATTTGGAGCCAACTGTAACCCATCCAAAGCTGCACAGTGTCTCAAGCTCCTGAGGGCCCATCGGGGGAACCACCGTCGTCTTGCCTCCCGAGCCCTGTCTGGATGTTCTGAACCTTCTGAGTTTTACGATATTGAGTTGATGGTTTGGACTGATATGCCTGTTTTTCTGGAACGCTTTCGACAAATTATGGTTCAGGAGTTCGCTCGGGAAGAACATGAAGTTCGTAGCGACCCCTCCTACACCAGTGCCCAGAAGGACTCGCACCTAGCCCGCATTCGCAGGCTTTCAGCAGCATGGGCACGGACCCGTCCTCGTATCCATCTCGCTGCCGTGGTGGAGCCAGGAGGCGCGCACGCCACAGAGCCTGATAAGATGGCTGAGTTGCTTGCCGAGTACTGGGGAAAGATATTCTCCAACTCCCAGCACCCAGATGCGCACGCGTCGCCGTTGCTGGAGTGCCTCTCGCCTGTGCACAGTAATGGGGGCCAATTTGTCAGCAGCACCCACACGTACCACAATTGGATTTTGAGTAAAGGCGAATTTGTTGACATGGCCCAGCGTAAAAAAGACTCGGCCCCTGGCCCTGACGGCATCCGATATTCCGGGTGGAAAGCTATCGGTTCCCTGGGATACGATTTATTGTACAACCTCTACGCCCACCTGATGACTGGTAATCGTCTCGCCCCGTCCTTCAATAACTGTAAGATGATCTTCCTTCCTAAAGGTTCCCTTTCAGGAAGTGGTGCCGAGGCCCGCCCGCCAAGTGTAACTAGACCGCTGTCCTTGAGCAACACCGACAACAAAATCGTCTCAGCCGCCGTTGCCTCGCCGCTGAATGCCGTCGCTGCCGACGTCGTCGACTGCTCCCAGAGGGGTTTCGTGCAGGGCCGATCGCTTATTGACAACCTTGTCGAATTCGATGCTCACTAGCAGTTTTGGGGTGATCTCTACGGGCTGAAGGACAGCGGCGCCACGCTTTTCGACTTTAAGCAGGCGTTCCCATCGGTTTTCCACGACTGGATCGCTGCCGTGCTTGATAAGTTAGGTATCCCGACTTGCATCCGCTTCGCGATTCACTCCCTGTACGACCAGAATTGGACCATGGTTCCGTTTCCTGGGGCTTCCGCTTGTGGCTTTTGGGTCTCCAGGGGAATGAAGCAAGGTTGTCCGATGAGCGGGGTCCTCTTTGCCACCATCCTCCATCCCGTTCTCGTCAAAGTCAAGAGATTCCAGCAGTCTTACGAATTCATCCTGCCGTGCTTTGCAGATGGCATAGCGCTCGTGGCCAGGAACCTACTTGCCGTCTTGCCCCTGGTCGTCCGTGAGCTCGTGACCTCAGGGCAGTGGGCGGGCCTCGTATTGAACCTTGGTAAGTGCCACATTATGATGCTGCATGTCAATGACAGAAAGTCCCCGGTCCAGATGTTCAGGGATAACACCCCCAGGATGAATGTTAACAAGTTTTCGTTTGGATCCAGTGGCCTCTACCTTGGTGCGATCGTGGGCCCAGATGGGCACCTTAAGAGCTGGTACGCGCCTGCTCAGAAGTTGTTCGACAGATGCACGTGCATCAAGGGCCTGAAGCTGGGGCTGAACCTCTCCCTCTCCGCGTACAACACCTTCGCTCTTCCTGTCCTCTCCCACGTCGCCCAGTGCTACGAGCCCAGCAAGCTCGTTCATGTCGAGGCCCGCGAGGGCCTGCAGCGGCTGACCAACGCCCCTCGCTACGCCTTCTCCCCGCTCGCCCTGCACCACATGAAAAAGATCGGTCTCGAGTGCGAGGCCCAAGAAGTTCGAGTCGCCGCTCCTGCCGCTCTGCTGCGTGCCGCCACCCGTTCTGATGCCTTCTGGAGAATGAAAGACTGGCTCGCGGAGATCAAAGAAGACGATGACCAGTGCATCGCCAGAGTTATCTCGTTCCCCTCGTCCAACTCCATCGTTGCCCACATGAACAGAGCAGTTGAAAGATATCATCCCGTTCCTGGATTTCCCCACGGAGTGAGGCCTGGTATGTTGCAGAATCGTATCACTAAGTTTTTAAAACAAGTTTTTTTTCCGTGAGCCCACTGCAGGTGAAATCATTTCCCCGAGGCTCCGTTATTGGACCCCTGAGGCGTCTGGTCCCGATTTTGACCGCGTTTTCCTTAGACTGAAGATGATCAGCCAGAGATGCCCTCCCAGCATAACAAGTGCTGTTATTAGGACCATCTTCAATGCGTGGCCCACTTCGAGGCGCTTCCGAGGCGGAGCCCAGATTTGCAGGTTAGGTCGTGCAAATATGGGGGGCGACTGTATAGAGCACTATTTCAGATGTCCTCATGTGATTTTGTGTCTTTCCCCCGTCCTCCCCGCTCTCCCTGCGGGTTGGGTGGCCGCTCGCCCCTTTTCCGCTTTTCTCCCCTCTCTCTGGGGCTCGGCGGGCTCCGACTCCTGCTGCCTCCACGCCATTGCCATCGATCTTGTTCACTATGCATATAATCGAAGTAGAACCAGGGAGCAAAGGCCCCCATCCTTCACAAGGAATGCTTTTGCTGCAAGGCTCCGACAGCAGGTCCGCCACAACACGGGGCTGCGGGAGCTGCTGAGCTAGCCAAGGACACCGTGGGACCCCTCCCTTCCCCCCTCTCAGCCGCGTGCCGCTCCTCCTCCTCCTCCTCCTCCTCCTCCTCCTCCTCCCCCTCCCCCTCCCCCTCCCCCTCCCCCTCCTCCCCTCCTCCCCATCCTCCTCCTCCTCCTGATCCTCCTCCTCCTCCCCCTCCCCCTGGCTCGAGCCGTTCTGGCTCATATTGATTCTGAGCTTGGTCGTGCGAACTTCAGGAGCGCTCCACGACCGAGCCGCCCTTGGCTCTGTCCCTCAGCCTACCCTTTGCAGGTGGCGCCTGCACTGTTCAGCCTACCATGCGCAGGTGGCGCCTGCGCTTTTCTCCTTCAGATCACGACGAAATCATGTCGTCGTCCCAGAAGAAGTACTTGGTCTGCGCCAAGCGCGGATGCAAAAGGGTGGGCTTGGCTGTCTGGTAACGTTCGCCATTCTACTCAGTGCGGCAGTCGTTTCAAGCAGCGTGGGGGCGCAGGTCCCAATGCAGAGCGCCCAGCAGGTGGAAACGGTGGAGCTTCTGTGTTCGGCCTGGCGAGCACGCGCCGCCGCCCGCGCCAGGCCGCTAGAGGAACGGCCCCCGCGGGCCTAAGTTCCCGCCTGGGCTGGGCCGCGGAGGTGGACGGCCCAAGCTCACTTTCGCGGAAGATATTGAACCTGATGAAGATCCAGCTGCCCTGGCCCAAGCCCAGTTTTCCTTGTGGAAGAAGCGGAAGCCTGACGGAGAGGAGCACAAAGCCGCGCTCGGCAAATTCAAGTATGCCAAAGCGCAAGTGCTCTCCGCCAAGAGCCTTGATCAGGAGGCGCAGTCGTTGTCCGACCAGTTGCAGGTGCGGCGCCAGAAGCTGGAGGCCCAGAAGAAGGAAACGACCGAGCTGGCGCACGCCATCGTCGAGGCGAGTGAACACCACAGCAAACTGGTCGCAGAGATCACGATCAATACAAAAGAAGTGCAGTCCTTGGAGTCCCAGCTCAACTTGGCCACCCAAGCGGCGGCCTATGAGGCGCCCAAGGGCGAGGACCTCCTCACCGCGCTCCAAGGCACGCTGGCCGCCAGGGTGCCTGCAGGCGGGGTGGGCACCACCAGAATTACCGTCTAAAGTTTCGGAGTTGGCGCAGATGTTTGACAACACGCAGCATCAGCACACCGCCTACTTCCAACCCCGGGCCAAGGGCGCTAGCAAGGGTGAGACGCCAGCGCCTGTGCAGGAGGAGCCAGACGGCCCCCCCCAAGGTTGGTGAGCGCGCTGATGAGCCTATACAACCTGAAACCGATCCAGGACAACACGCGCCTACGCCAGATGGCGGCCAGGAGCTGGAGGGGGACAAGGACAAGTCTGACAAGTCTAACAACGAAGGCGACGCTGCCCCGATGGACGAGTCGGGGGGGCCGCGCGCGGGCTGCAGAGGCTTTGGGGCAGGTCGCGAGCGGCATGGCCAAGATCAAGGGCGAGTCTGGTCCTGAGGCCAAGAAGGCCAGGGCGGCTGCTACGGCCGCCTCGGCAGCCAGTGCCGCCCCGTCTGGCGGGTAACCAGAATTCCTAAGCTCGCTACTATCAACGGATCGCGCAGGCCTGCGATGCGAAAGTTGTCGCAGACGCCTCAAGCCAGCGCAGTGACCATAGCTTGTGCCCAGGAGTGAAAGTTCGCCGATGGAGATAGCATTGCGCGTCGGATGCAATGGCGCTCCGCGCAAGGGTGGTTGGCTTACATAACTCCTTCCGCCAGCATTCCTCGCAATGAGCTGGTTCCGGGAGTTGCGATTTTGATTCGGGGCGGTTTGGGCAAGGGGGTCAGGTGTGATCCTTGAGCTTCCAGGGGGCCCAGGCTGCTGCGGGTCTCGCAGAGACCAATTTGAACTTGTTGGCCACGGTTGGCCAGCTCCAGGACGATTTAGCGTACCCAGCGTTGGTTGTGGGAGATTTCAACCTGGCCTCATCCAGGCTGTTCCAGGCCAGTTTCTGCCCAGGTCTACCATGACAGTGATGGCGCCGTCGACATCCACGTACAGAACTATTTTGCCCAGTCAAGGCCCAGCCATAGATGACTAAGTCGACACTCGAATATTTTGCCCAGTGAAGGCCTCGCGATTTGGCTCCGAGACCCCCGTGCTCTTGCCTCCTACACCCCCTTTTCCCCTCATCGACCTGCGCCGATGGATATCGTTGTCCAGGATCACTTTAACACCCCCGCGCTGCATAGGCCCTAGAAGCTGCCCGCCCACATTCCAGTGGGCCCGCAATTACCAGAAGTGAGTTGGCACCAGACAGCCGCGATCGTGGAATGTGCCTCGCAATTCATCGGCGATGCGCAACGGCCTCTCTCCGATCAGCAGTCGTCGGTGGTCCTGGACCACGCGCTCTTCGCCCTGGCCCAGGACCTGGTAGCTACAACCAGCGAAAGGACCAACGCGCCCATCAAACTTAGTAAGTGCCCCAGGGCCCACCCCCTCAGGTTCTTCTCGTCCCCCTGGAGGCCAAGGCTGCCAAGGGTAGGGCTACGTGGGTGGCCTACGCGCGCCCGTTGAGGTGGTCGCGTAATCGAGTTCTGGACTTTAGAAGATGTTCAGATGTGGAATCTGAAAGAGTTCCAGGACGCCCTTGACAGCTTGGAGGATAGCCCCGAGTTGTTCCCCACCGCGGTGCCCCTCAAGGAGGGGCTTCAGGATATTCGAGCTGCAGCAGGTTTGCTTCTTTTTGATTGTCAGGCCGGCGCTTTGGACCAGGAGTTGGCGCTCCAAGTCCTAGATGAGCTGCTGGAGCAGGTTGCCAGCTGCAACAGCAGGAGCAGGCGGCGGACAACGTTGCAGATGGGAGGGCTTGGAGGGGCTGGGCGCGCAGATGGTTCAAACGGCTGGAGGCCTGGCGCCCATCGGATGTGCAATGCAAGTCTCAGTGCGCGGGTAGGCCCCATAACAGATTGCAGGTTAAAGCTGATCCATTGGCTAAGACATGGCAGGTTTCCTCGGACACCCCACCCCAACTTGTTCCCGATACTGATGATCGCATTGCCCTTGGTCCGATTACCCCCAAAAGGTTACGACGAGTGGCCCGTAGCGATCCACATTCCACAGCTTCTACTTGGGATGGCTTTCATCCGCGACATTTCATTATGTTGAATGACGAGCAGGCGGCGTCCGCCTGCCAAATTATCGGTTCACTTGAAGGTTGGTCACGTGCCGTCGCAGCTCCAGGGGATCGTTTCTACTCTTATGATGAAGTTGAAACAATACGACGCTCCAGCCAGTCAGCCTTATTTCAGGTCCATTGGCATGTTACCAGTGCTATATCGTGTTTGTGCTCGCCTGCGTAGGTCGGCGGCAATAGAGTGGGGAGCCCCCCGTCGTCGACCCTATCTAGCGCATCCGGCTGGCCATTCTATAGTTAAATTGGTACGCAAACAATCTGGAATGTGAGTTCAACAGCTCCGCTAAGGATCAGCAAAATTGCGTGCAGGTCTTGTATGACCTAACTACTACGAGCATGTTGATCGCCCGTGTCTCTCTCATCGTGCTGTTGAATCACGTACCCCGTGTTGTTTACTCTGGTTTATAGTATCCCAATATGCCAGTGAACGCAGTGTATCGTTGCAAGATTGCGCGATCTGCGCGGGCGAACCTTGGGGGGGCATTGCCGCGGGCTGCAGCTGGACCGCGTCCTTAGTGCAAATGTATGCGCTAGCCCCTCTTGGTATATGGACACAAGCCCGCAGTCGCATTAGGCTCGCGATGTTCATCGATGATATGCTGCCCCGGCGCCACGGCCGGAGTTTCAGTCTCATCGCCCCAGCCAGCTTCACGTAGCCGCCAGGTCCATGGCAGACTGAGTCATCCACGAGTTTAAGCGCCAGATGGCCAGCAAGAAGAGTCAGGTCTTGCCATTCTGTGGCGCCGTCTTGTTTGGGATGCGTCCACCCGCCTTCGCCTCGCCGTGGCCAGTTTCCAGCAGCTGCGTTTTTGGGCGGATGCCATTCCCCCGAGATGTTCAGAATCTTGGGGTTCCTCTGGGGGCTCTCTTAGCGCGGCCGTACTTTCCCTGGAACGACGTGGTTGGACAGTCCAGGGACCGCTCGCGCGCGCGACATCTTCAGGCCTCGAGCGCCCTCTTCCAGGACACCCCCCCGCCTACTTCGGAAAGATCACGGATCACGATTGGCACGGCCAGCTCGCCGCGAAGGTGGCCGTGGGGCTCGGCCACCCGGACGCTCAGTTAGATGTTGTTGCTGCTCGTAGCGCTCTCTCTTCGGACCTCCTTGGCCACCAGAAGGGCACGCCCCTCGCCTCCCCCGCCCAGAGTACATGGGCGATGGAGAGAGCCAAAGCAGCAGGATATGATGTCCCAGTTGT